ATGAAATGTCTTTGGTACTAGGAAAATATTTTCCTGGCCTCTAGCCAGTGGTGGGATTCAGCCAGTTCACACTATTTCAGGAGAACTGGTTGTTAACTTTCTGAACAGTTTGGTAAACTGGTTGTTGGAAGAAATCATTAGGGCAGAGAAGCGGTTGTTAATTTATTTGAATCCCAGCATTGCTTCTAGCACAGTGATGGCGAACCTTTTGTGGCTCACGTGCCAAAAGCGGGGGGAGCGCAGGGGGAGTTGTGCATGGGCATGCCACACCCATAATGCTATGTGCCCGACTCCAGAGTGCATGTGCACACAACCAGCATTCCCCCCCCCCCATTTTTGGTGTGCTTTTTTTGCCTCTCCAGGCTCCAGAGGCTTTAGAGGAGCCTGGGGAGGGCGAAAACAGCCTCCCCCGCCCCCCAGAAGCCCTCCAAGAGCGTGAAAAACCAGCCCTATGGACAAACTAGAAGTTCAGGAACAGACTTCTGGTTTGCTCGTACGATCCTTTTTTGCCCTCCGGAGCCTTCAGGGAAGCCTCCTGAAAGCTCCTGAATGCTCCGGAGAGCTAAAACCGGCCCTATGAGCAATCCGGAAGGGACTTCCGGTTTGCTTGTAGGGTCGTTTTTTTGCCCTCCAGAGCCTTCAGGAAAGCTAAAACCACCCCTACAAGCAAACTGGAAGTACGTTTCCGAATTTCCGGTTTGTCCGTAGGGCCGGTTTTTCATGCTCCGGAGGCTTCAAGGAAACTCCTGAAGCCTCCAGAGGGCAAAACATGGCCTCAAAAGAAGGCCAAAGTCAGTTGGCCAGTGCACACACACGTGCCATAGGTTCGCCATCACGTCTCAGTATACAGTATTTTGAATTAACGGATATCTCTAAAGACTACTTAGTGGACAATGTGCTATAATGCTATCTGCTATCAGAAGATAACAAAAATGCTGGACAATTTACATTTCTTCAAGGCCAGCCATACCAACTAAACCTGAACTGCTGAAAATTGGCTTGTTCCCTGCTAGGATTTTCCCCAGCAGTATCCTAGAATTCTCAAGATTACAGTAAGAAATGTATAATTGCTTTGGATTACCCTTCAGCTACTTATATAATCTTGTTGATACCAAGAGCATTTCTTCTCCATAAAGATTTTCAAGTTCCACATCTTGAATACTTCCCAGGTTGCACTTTTGAGGTAAACTGAGATTGCAAATCCCAGTATTCTCTGCCTGAAGAGAAATTCAGATTAACCAATTGCCTCAGAATTAAAGGGATTGCATCCTCACATATCTGGAAGGACCTGAGAAAGGCTGATCCAAAGATCAAATATACCATTGGTCATGGAAAGAAAGTTCTTTTGGAAATTAGTAGCAAGCTTAGCACCAATTGGAGATTAAAGAGTGTCCAGAAAACTCTCATCTCTTTGGATATATAGATACAGAATGCCATGTTTCTACTCTTCTTCCCTGTTACCATCTTGTGCTCCCCATGCCCCTCTCCCCTGTTCTAGTAGTAGACATGTTCAGTAGAGGACTCCATAGACTCTGGGAGTTAAGATTCCTTTAAATTGGGAACCAAAAATAAACTTATTTTGCTTTAAGAGCCATATTAAAGGTCATAAGTTAGCTAAGTATAGCTGTCACCAAGTTGTTCCTATATATAAACCACCCTGGAGCTCTGAAAATGACCATCTATTAAAGAGATCATATTGGCAGGGATCAGGTACAAAATTTAAGAGGTGGGTTGTATTTGTGGAATTCATGCCACAACAGCATGGGAAAAACCACCAACGTGAACTGCTCTCCAGGAAAAAACATATAATAAAACAAATACCTGGACAAGAAACAACTGCCAATTAGACTATGAAACTCAGAAAAGTAAAATTCCTTTTAAGTGGCAATGTATTTTTAGTGATCAAATACTGAGGATTAGCAAGAGGCTGGTATCAGCTTCTTGGGCCAGCCAGTAAGCTAAAGTCAGAATAGGGGCAAGTAACTCTGTCAAGTTAATTTGTTGGTTTTATTACTTAACTTTCCCTCCCTTCTTCCCTTCCTTTCTCTCTCTCCCTCTCTCCCACTCATACTCTTTCACACACTACAAAAACACACACCCATGTAAATTAATGCAGTTTTCCATAGACATGTGAACTTGTGCGCACACATTTGTTTTTAAATGCAAATATTTTTCCAATAGTAAAATGCTTCTCTTTTTTATTTTTGCATACTTTTATCTAATACACACTTGATAGAGGATCTTTTTTTGGATGCCATCCATGTTAAAAGTTGCTATTCACTTGCATTTCAGGCTTGTTTTGGGAGATCTAAAACGGAAATATTGACTTTAAAAATTTCTCATGGTCCAATTTTTTAATCCCTTTGTCAGAATTTACACTTCTAGACAATGTTGATAAAAGTTATCGTTACTCCCGCTAATGGTAAATTCAGCTGGAGGATGTCCATTGAAGTCAAAATATAATGGGCACTCCAGAGCTTCCTCTTGTTGGGGTAGCACTATCCTGAAAGGAACCTATCCATAATCTAAGGGTGCCTTCCAAGGTCAGAGCTACTGCTGGATGGAGCAGACTGTGTGTGTGTGTGTGTGTGTGTGTGTGTGTGTGTGTGTGTGTGTGTGTGTGTGTGTGTGTGT